GGGGTTCAAACTGACCTTGCGATGCGTCACACCAGGACCACCATGTTGTTGTTAAGTGCTGTCCAGTCGGATCCAACTCACAGCGATCCTGTCTATAGTTTCCAAGGAGCAGCTGATAACTTTGAACTGCTGGCCTTGTGGTTTGCAGTCCAGCGCTGATCTTACAGCATCACACCAGGAGTCCAGAACTCCCATAGATGTAGTTAGTTTGATTTCTGTGTATTCCATCTGGTGAGGTCTAGGTGTATAGTTGCCATTTGTGTTGTGTAGAAAAGGTATTTGCAATGAATAAGTCATTGGTCTTGCAAGATTCTATTATATGATCTCCAGCATCATTTCTATCACTAAGGCCACATTTTCCAATCACTGATCCTTCTTTGTTTCCAACCTTTGCATTCTAATCACCAGTAATTATCAACACATCTTGATTGCATATTTGATGAGTTTCAGACTGAAGAAGTTGGTAGAATTCAGTGTCTTCATCTTTGGCTTTGGTGATGGGGTGTACATTTGGGTAATAGTGGTGTTAACTGGTCTTCCTTATAGGTGTGTGGATATTAGAAAAGGGAGTTAACACATGGGTCAGGATTGTAGGAGCAAACACTCCAGCTTTGTACAGGTGGCTCTGTTTGCGTCTGGCAGGGCTCTCCCACGTCAGGCTTAGCAGCTGCACTTGTTTGCAGATGCTGCCCTGGGCAGCAGGGACAGCAGCTCTTCTTACAGAAGGGGCGTCTGCACTCTTAGCACTTGCAGGAGCCACCATGGCTCAGCAGCAGCTGGGGTCCATTTCGAGAGAGGTGGGTGAGGTCGAAGACAGGTGACGAAGAGGATGCTAGAGTGGTGGAAACACGTACAATCCTCTTGACTTTGTCATTCCCAGCATAGCAAAACCCTATGATTGATTCAGAATGGCCAATACCAGTCCATTTCAGCCCACGAATGCCCAGGATATCGATCTTTATGCAGTCCATTTCAGTTTTGACAACTTCCAATTTTCCTAGATTATACTTCGTACATTCTGTGTTCTGGATGTTTACAGCTGTTTCTCCTCATTTTGAGTTGTGCCCCATCAGCAAATGAAAGCCCCCAAAGCTCTGCTCCATTCATTTAGTCATTGTCAGCTCTACTTTGAGGGGCTTATCTGACAGCATTCTGCAGCTGTTCATAAGGTTTTCAGCAACTAACCATTCAGCAGGAGGCCTTGTCTCCTCCTCGCTATTCTGTCTTAGTCTGGAAGCTCCACTGTAGTACGACCAACTGACAGGCCAGTGGTTGGTTCCCCTTATAGACCTAGCTTCTGTTTGACTGAAAATGAAGCCGTAGGGGTGAGTTCATTTTCCAACCTGAAGTGACGACTAAGGACCCCAGTCACCATGGGGTCCCACCAGTCTCTAGCTGACCAGTAAACTTGATCTTTCTTATGATTCTGAGGTTTGTTCCCTCCAGGACACCTAATGTATTCCCTTTCAGAGCAGTTAGTTGGTCATGGGAGCCGGGCACCATCTAAGTACTTCTGGTCTCAGGGTTGTGGAGACTGATATTCCCGTGGTCCATTAGTGCACCATGTGTCCAGTGTCTCCATGTGGCTTCAGTTTTTATCACTCTTCTTTCCTCCCTTCTTACTGAATAAGACCGAGTTGGACCTTAGATTCGCCTAACATCTCACGTTGCTTTTTGCTCCTTTGAGGTAGATTCAGTGAAAAATGTGTTTATATGTGCAGTTCTACATTGTATTTCAAGAGCTCTTCAACCATCAGAAGACTGTATCTGGATCTCAGATTAAAATCCTCATTCCAGTCTGAAGTGTGGGAAAAGCAGATAGTGGGTGAGTCTTTGGAAAACTGGAGTTCTGGATTTTGTTTTGTGTGTGAGCAGTCTGGAGCATGCTGGGTTTACTGGGTAGTGTCAAGTTGGAAGGGAAATAAGACCAGTGCCAAGTATAATGCTTTGCTAGTGTGGCAGCTCGGATCTAAAGTGTGAGGTACCACACTGCGTGGCTTCTCACTGATGGAATCTTTCTGAAACATGAATTGTCAATTTAAAATAAGTCTAGTCTGGAATAGTAAATGTGCTTGCTGCATGCTGCCAAGCTGATTCTGACTCAGTGCGACCCTGTATTTGACGCTGTAAATATTTACAGGAGCACAAAGCCTCATCTTTCTCCCACAGAGCATCTGGTGGATTTGAATTGTTGAACTTGTGGTTAGCAGCCCATCGCCTAACCCATCATGCTACCATAGCTCCTTAAATATATGCCTAGTTTTTAGCAATTTTCTACTAATCTTGAATATTTAAAAAAATTTTTTTATTTTAAAGCTTTTGTTGTGAATTGAGTGATAGTTCCCAGGGCAGATCATCAGTTTCAAACTCAACTAATCATATTTTGTTTCATTGCCACGATTCCGATTCCCTCCACGTGCTGTCGATTCACAGTGTTAATCATCTTTATTTCTTTTTTTGGGATGTACGCATTTTGCTCCTCCATCCCTCTGAGTCATTGCCTCTGCTGCCACCCCTTCTCTGGTTAGAATCTCATGTTCTGCTCATGCTCTTCCTAGATGAAAGATGGTTCTAGAATGAAAGATTAACTACTCCCCCTTATTGTTTCACATCGTCTACCTCTACAGTTGTGACAAATGCAGTTGGTCATGATAACAGTTGCTCACGACTGAATCTAAAGTGTCCTATCCCCATCCTGTCCTATCCCCTTTTACCAGCTCCATCTGGAGAAGAGGAAACATATTCAATGGGGTTGACTTATCTTTAATCCCTTCATGGCGGAATTGTTTTTGGCCTTGAATTTTTGCTCGAATCTATGCTTTTTAGTAATAGGAGGCATTTTGAATGAAATGGAAAATAATTTTTGAGGTTGTATGGATTTTGATGCAATTAGTGGGACATACATGTCTGATACTTGAGTTGGTGGAATGGCGTCCTTTTCTTTGGGTGCACACAATTATACAGCCTCCTCCCACATTCCCAAATGGCAGCACACGCTAATAGTAACAGCTTTCTATTACACTCCAGAGACAGTGTGTGTGTCCCACAAGTCATGAGAGGATTAAGCCTTTTTTCTACAGATGCAATTGCTGCACACTTTCTCCAGTTCTCTCTTATCTCTAGTTCCTTCCATAGCTCAGTCCTTATTGGATGGCTTAGGATACTAAGTGGTAAATGGTCTACAAACTGTGGTGTGAGACACTGGTGTGGAGGCCTCAGATACCCATCGTCCTCAGTAGATTCTGTAGGACAGAGTAGAACTGACCCCACGGGGCTTCAAGGCTGGAAATCTCCTTGGAAGCAGACTGCCCCACTTTTCTGTTAGCAGCTGAGCACTGTTTTCTATGTGAGTAAATGCTAGTTTGCTGTTATGCTCACATGCACGCAAATGAGGTAGTGTAACCTGATCTTTCCTCGTTCCTAATTAACTGTTTCTCTTTCAACAGTTGCTTTGACAGTGTAGATTTTTGCGGGGTGTATTCTAGAGACACAGCCTTGATAGCAGGATGGTTTCTTTTGACAGTTTCCTGTTTTCATCTTCGGTCTTTTTTTCTGTTGGTTTGATCACACTTCCTATAAATGTTCTTTCAGAGGTTATTATAAATTGCAAAATAGTTTCCTCCCTAGTGTTTTTGTGAAGTCCGGATGTGGCACTGGACTACTAACTACAAGGTTGGCTGTTCAAACCACCAGCTGCTCCTTGGAACCCGTAGACACGGCCACTATGAGTTGGAACCAACTTAACAACAGCAACAATTTTCTGCCTTTCACCTTTTTAGTGATACTTTTGACCAACAGATGTTGTTTTTGTGATTAAATATCAGATTTTTACTTTTGTAGTTTGTGTCTTTGGTGTTCGATTTAATAAGCCTTTTCCTAGCCCAGTAATGCACTCCCCCGAACACCTTTTTTTTGTATGATGGTCCCTATTATATTGCCGTGCACCGGTGGTAGAATTCTCACCTTCCACTCAGGCAGCCGGGGCATCATTCCCAGCTTGCATGCCGCTGTACTGAACAGGCTGCAGCAGAGTTTCCAGGCTCTAAGACGGACTGGGGAAAGGCCCGGTGATCTTCTGCTGAAAAATCAGCCAGTGAAATCCCTGTGGGTCACAACATCCAATCCCCTGGTGCATGGGGACTGGCTTGATGACTGTTGTCCTTTTTGTTAAGTGCGATGGAGTCAGTTCAGACTCATAGTGATCCTGTATAGGGCTTCCAAGGAGCAGCTGGTGGGTTTGAACTGCCAACCCTGTGGTTAGCAGTCCAGGGCTGCTCCTACTGAGCCATACCGGGACTCTGACTTGATGGTAATTAACGACAATTTTCTTTGTAGAAACCAGTTTCTTTCTTCATGCCCTCACCTGCTATACACAACCACAGAGGTGATAGAAAATTGTTCTCCCTCTGTCCCCGTGACTGTTCTCTGTAGATCCTCTTCTCCCAACTAGGGTCCCTGCCTCTGGCTTCTACCCTACAGACCCCTCCCCAACCCCCCCCCCTCTTTTTTTAAGTTGTGGAAATATATATCCAATGAAAAGTAGTTTGAACTACATGATATTGTTACGTCCTGGCATTGATAACATTTGTGAATGCTGCTTTAGTTTCCAACTGAAGATCAGACACCAGCTTGTTAGCCCCTGCCAGCCTTGTTCAACTACCCCAGAGTCAGCTCCACATAGTTTAAAAGTGTCTGTGTGTGTCTAGTTATAGTGATTTCATAACCAGTTAAGTGGCGTGGAAGGGTGGAAGTGAGAAGGCAAAGCCCCTTCTCCCCCATTGTCTCAGCACTTCACCTTAGCACCTCACACATTTTCCCACTGTGGTCCTTGTTAGTTTGGATTGTAAACATTTATATATTTGCTTCCCTTTTTGACTTCCAATCTAAACAAAAGCAGGTGTTAGTTCTCTCACAGATTCCTGGCAGGCACCCCACAAATATTTAAAGAGTCAGCATACATGGGGAAGATTCTCCTGACGGCGCCTCTTGTCTCTGGACAGATCTGCTTGCGTTCCCGCTGGACAGACATGCTGCTTTCCAAGCTCGCTCGTCTGCAGCCTGCCGCTGTGCTCCGCCGGGGAGTCCATTCTTCCGTGGCCTCTGCTGTGTCTGTTGCGGCTAAAAAAACAGTCCAAGGCCCTCCGTCCTCTGATTACATTTTTGAGCGGGAATCTAAATATGGCGCGCACAACTACCACCCTTTACCTGTCGCCCTGGAGAAAGGAAAAGGTACGCTTTATGTTAATCTAGGTTTCTCTGAGGTTTGTTTGGTAGCTTAAAATCTTTTGAACATTTGGATGCTTTTAGGGTTTTTTCGCCACATACTTTCTCAGATGGATTTGACATGTATGTTGTAGATGCAATGACTTCAACATTTGTTGAAATGAACTCATGGTTTTTGGTAGTGATGGATTTGTACCAGTAGGAAATTGAAGATGCATACGTTTTATGTCCTCCCAAAATGTGTGTTATAAAGCCTAACCTCTTGGCCTGCAGTTATAATCCCATTTAGGAAAGATTTTCTGTTATGGGGCAGGATGTGTAGTGTAGGGTGTGTCGTGAGTCAGTCCCTTGTTGCTGGGAAGTGTCCTCGATTCAGTTAGACTCATTGTGACCCTGTACAGGGTTTCTGAGGAGCAGCTGGTGAGTTTGAACCACAGACCTTGTGGTTTACAGTCCAGTGCTGATTCGACAGTGCCACATCACTTCCTTAAGAGTGAGAAAAGGAGCAGATTAGACAAGTGGAGACGGGGTAAGAGCAGATGGCAGAAGCTCAAACAGACCAGGACTTTCCTCCAGAGCAGACAGACCGTCTTCCTTTGGAGGTGGTGCCCTGAATGCTAACTTGGACGTCTAGCCCTTTCAACTCTGAGAAAATACATTTCTGTTTGTTAAATACCATTATGGTTGTTTTGTTTTAGCAACACTAGCTGACTAAGCCAGTAAGTCCTGCTGTGTCCCCATGCTTTCCTTTTTAAAATGTTGGCATGATTTTAACTTAAAAGTTACAATCAATAGGAGTACATAAACCTTCAACCACAAACATCCCCTGAAGTCTCAAAACAGTACTTCAGCGGAACAGCCAATCAGTTTTGCTTTTGAGCAGTGTGCGCTTGTAAGAACTATCAACGTGGACTCAAACTGACAACAGCAACTGGAAAGATGAGCCAGGCAGCTTGGGGGTGGGGTTGGGGGCTGTGAGTTTATGCTCACGGGGGAGGAACTGTCAGGAAAGGAGAAGGAAGCATGGCGCACAACTCGAAGGATGTCATCCATGTGGCTGAATTGTGCTTACAGAAACTGTCAGTTGGTGTAGGTTTTGCTGGGCATGCTCTCAACAGAACCCAAACACAAATACCCTAGGTAAGCGTGGCCGGCATTCGCACAGCCTGCCTTTTTTGTCCAGTCTGTCTTGACCTGTGAAATGTCGATTGTAGTGAAAGAACACTTCGATAGCTCCGGGGTCCAATGAAGTCACATATGCAACACTCTTTTACTTCACAAACTCGTCCTGTGTGTTTGTGCCTGGTTGCCTGGAATAGGTGTCTTGGTTCTCTGGTGCTGCGACAACAGAAACACCATAAGAGGGCAGCTTGAACAAACCAAAATTAGGAGGCTGGAAGTCCAAGTTCAGAGCCCCAGCTCCAGGGGTACTTCAGGCCTTTGTCTCTTTGTGGGCTCCGGGAAGAGGCCCTGGTCTCCCTTCAGCGTCTGCAGGCCCAGCATTCCTTGGGGATCTCCATGTGTCTGGGCATCTGTCTTTTGTCCATCTAGGAGCTGCACAGGGCAGGACCCCCAGGCCCAAAGGACACAGTCCACTCCCAGCTCTTCTTTCTTGGGGGTGTTGGGGCCCTCCACTGCTCAGTTGTCTTTCCTTTTGTCTCTTGTAAGAAAAAAGGAGTTGCAGGCGCACCCCTGAGCAACTTGCCTGGCTGCTCCCAGCAGGTCTTTTCACGGAGCTAATTTTATTGTGTTAGATCTTACCATGGACTGATTATTACTACTGTCAGAGCACAAGTCCAGTTTGCACGGTGCTGACTGGCCGAGTTCTGTGAGCTGGACAGCCAGTGGCCACAGAGTCTTGGTGTATTTTGATGAGAGAAGTGCGGAAGCGGCCAGCTCAATGCTGGTGTGGAGTACGTGGTACGTGGTACCAGCTAGGTGTTAGCGCCTGCTTTTACCAGCTACAGACAGCCTTTGTAGCTTTCTCTCATCTGTGCAACTGCTCTGCCTTAAATTCCAATTTTGGCTCCTTAATGTTAGAATTGGAGTCCTGGTGTGGCGCTGTGGGTTAATGCGCTGGACTGCAAAGTCAGTTTGAACCTCACAGTTGGTAGTTCAAGCTCATCAGATGCTCCTTGGAAACCCTATGCAGGGTCACTGAGTCGGAACCTACTCGATGGCACTTAACAATGTTAGAATTGGGTAAAGGTTTCACCCAGACTTTATACCCTTATCCTGTTCTCCTTGTTAAATATGCATTTTGAAGCTCAACAGATAGAGCAAAGTGTGTCATATTTGAACTGAAATGATCCTTAACCACAAATGTATGAGGGGGCTTCAAACAATTCGTGGAAAAAGTTCCAATATCTTTCAATTCCATTTTTCCATGAACTTTGTGAAGCCCCCCTCTGCTGAATGAGTCTGTGCAGGCACGTTGAGGACTTGTGAGCAGGTTCATTTGTAGACTCTCTGTAATCTGGTAGTTTTCTAGAATTCTTGTTTTTACTATGTTTTAGGTATTTATGTGTGGGACGTAGAAGGCAGAAAATATTTCGACTACCTGAGTGCTTACAGTGCTGTTAATCAAGGACATTGCCACCCTAAGATCGTGGATGCTCTGAAAAGCCAGGCCGACAAACTGACCCTAACCTCGCGGGCTTTCTACAACAATGTCCTTGGTGAATATGAGGAGTACGTAACAAAGCTTTTCAACTACCACAAAGTTCTTCCTATGAATACAGGTAAAGGCTGCCTTGTACTAGGTTAGGGAACTTAACTTCATCTTCCAAAAATGCAAAACGTTTTCCAAACCTGAATTTGTTTTCCCTCCTTTTGATAGGAGTGGAGGCAGGAGAGACAGCCTGCAAGCTTGCTCGGAGGTGGGGCTACACCGTCAAGGGCATCCCAAAATACAAAGCCAAGATTCTTTTTGCAGGTATGCGACATTAAGCAACGGAGCTGCTGGTGAGCATTGGGAAAGGCATTGTGCAGGTAACAGAAGGATGGGTGGTTTGAGCCCACCAGCTGCCCACCAACTGTGGGAGAACGATGAGGGTGTCCGCCTCCGCAGAAATCCACAGTCTCAGAAACCCTGTGGAGCAGTCTCTCTGTCCTACAGGGTCGACACTTGGTGCTGCCGTTGTAAAACCTCGTGCCTTTGTTGTGGTGGAGGTGGTGTGCCGTGGAGGCTGTTCCGACTCATAGCGAACTCTGTCCAGGGTTTCCGAGGCTGTAAATCTTTATGGGTGCAGAAAGTCTCAGCTTTCTCCTGTGGAATGGCTAGTAGTTTTGAACCGCTGACTTTGAGGTTAGCAGCCCAACTCATACCAGAGCTTCTTGCCTTTGTTGTAGGGCAATGTAATTGTCTCTTTAAAGCAAAGTGCCATTTTGCTGATTTTCATTGCTGCAGAGAGACTCCACGTTAGCCAAGGTACACAGGTGGTTTCACCTGAGTAGCAAGCAGCTGAAGAGTCCATGGGGTGGGGAGATGAGGGAAGGCCTTATACCTGCAGGCTGAGTGAGGCATGGAGGGGAAAGCTCTGTGGCCCAAGAGAGCAGACAGACTGATGGCCTGATGGATGCCCTTTTCTTCCATGAGCCTGAGCCAAGCCAGTGTGCTGTGACTTGTGGATGAGTAAGGCAGGAGTCCTGGGGTGGCTCTGAGGGTTAATGCGCTGGGCTGCAGAACCGGCTGCAATCACAAGGTCGGTGGTTCAGGCTTACCAGCCGCTCCTTAGAAACCCTGTTCAGGGTGCTTTGAGTTGGAACTGACTGGATAGTACTTAACAACAATAAGGCAGAAATGAGAGGTGAGAGGCTTCACAAGAATATTGTAAGCACAGAACTGGAAACCACAAGGCTGGCGGCTCAACCCTACCAGCAGTTCCTTGGGAGAACGGTGAGGCTTTCTGCTCTTGCTGTTGCAGTTGAATCAGTACCGACTTGTAGTGATCTTATGCACAACAGAACGAAACACTGCCCGGTCCTGTGCCAGCCTCCCAGTTGTTGATCTACCTGAACCCATTGCTGCTGCCAATGTGCCAGTCCATCTCATTGGGGGGGTCTTTGTCTTTATTGCTGAACCTCCACTTTAACAAGCATGATGTCCTTCTCCAGGGACTGGTCCCTCCTGATGTTATATCTGAAGTATGAGAGACGAAGTCTGGCTAGCCTGGCTTCTTAGGAACATTCTGACTGCTTCTTCCAACACATACTTGTTTGTTTTTTTGGCGGTACATGGTACTTTTAATATTTCCCTCCAACACTGTGACTCACATGCATCAATTCTTCTACGGTCCTTATTCATTGTCCAAATTTCGCATGCATATGAGGTCATTGAAAATACCATGGCTTAGGTCAGGCGCACCTTAGTCCTCAAGCAGACATCTTGGCTCTTGAACACTTTATAAAGAGGTCTTGTGCAGCAGATGTGCCTAATGCAATACATCATCTGATTTCTTGATTGCTGCTTCCATAAGTGTTGTGAGTTGTTCCTGCTCTTACAAAGATTTAAAGCCTCAGAAACCCTCCATAAGGTCACCATGAGTCAGAACCAACTCGACGGCCCCAGCAACAACAACAACAAAATGAAGTTAGTGGGTGGTCCTGTAGGAGAAGCACTGGGCTACTAACCACAAGGTTAGCAGTTCAAACCCACTAGCTGCTCTGTGGGAGGAAGATGAGGCTTTCTGCTCCTGTAAAGCTGCAGAGTCTTGAGAATCCCACACAGGGCCACTGTGAGTCCAAACTGACCCTGACCCCTAACACCAGTGACAGCAGCATGGAGGCCGTGGACAGTACCTCAGTACTGGGCACAGTAAGCTGCTGCTGACAGGCGGTGGGGAGATGGGTGAGCCTGTGGTCCTCATCCTCATGGGGTATTGCCATCCTTAGACACCTGTGGGACACATCGTGCCTTCCTACATGTCCCACCTCTGGGGTTTGGTGGGAAATGCCATTGGACCGTGCCTTCTCCACCATGATGTTCACAGAGGAGAACTCGATTTGTCTTTGGAGAATGAGCAGGGGACAGTGCTTACTCAAATAGTTTGGAAATTGGTTGGTAATCAGTGTTGGTCTTTTGCTCTAGCTGGAAACTTTTGGGGTAGAACACTGTCTGCCATCTCCAGCTCCACGGACCCCACCAGTTACGATGGCTTTGGACCATTTATGCCAGGTTTTGAAATCATTCCCTACAACGACCTCCCTGCACTTGAGGTACTTCATGTTGTGTGTGTTTTGGGGTATCGTTGGCTCGCTTCTGACACGCAGGGTTTCCGAGTCGGAAATCTTTAAAGGCTCAGATCAGCAGAATTTTCTCCTGTGCAGCTGCTGGCTAGGTTCGAACCTCAACCTTTGGGTTAGCCAAGCGCTGGCCAGTGCATCACCAGGGCTCCCTCATTGAGCACACATTCTGTGACTGTAGTGAAGTTTTTTGTCTACAGTTTGACTATGGTTTCAGGCCTATGTTCTGTACCGGTCAATTTCCAACACAAGATTTAATCTTTACAACCAGCCGACCACTTGATTTGTGTCCTTCCTGACAGTTAACTTGGATGTTGCCCGTGTTGGGATGACATTGCTAGATAAAATGACTCCGTTTCCAGCTAATTTTTTAACATTATGAAGTAGGAGACTTTTGTAAAATGCAGACTCATTTGAAATGGATTTAAAAGTTCTACTGTGGGTTTTTAAGGAGCTCTGATAGTGTAGTGGTTATGAGTCTGGCTGCTAACCTCAAGGTCAATAGTTTGAAGTTGCCAGCAGTTCTGCGGGAGAAAGATGAGGCTGTGTGCTCTCTTAAAAGATTTATAGCCTCGGAAACGCTATGCAGGCTCGCTATGAGTCGGAACCGACTCTACGGGATATAACCACCACCACCACCAAACTCGGCTTTACTGACAATGAGTTTATGTATTAGAAAACATAGAACACAGTGGCTTAAAGCTGAAGTTTTTGGGGCTTCTGGTAATTAAATGTTCATCACGGAGCTTCAAAAAGTTTATGGAGAAATTGTAAAGGTAGAAGTTTTGTAACAAAAACGGTGGAGTAGTTAATCTTACAGTCCAGAAACAGAGGACCCTAGTGCCATCAAGGGAGAAGAGCACAAGTGGAATACAGGACCTTATCCAGAGAAGCAGCGACACCAGAGATGGAGGCAGAGATGGGGACATGGAGAGATAGAGCAGCTGAGGACTCTAGATTCATGGGAAGAGAAGGACTGAGAGCTGGCAGCCAGGAGGCAGACTTGCAAAATGTGCCCTTGGGTGGTGTAAATTATTATGTGCCTAAGTGTTTGAAAAAAAAAACCAAAAAGAGCTAAAATGCATAGAGAGAAATACTGTTAACTGATGGCACTTGGAGGGGATTATAATCATTGTAATGAAACAAAGTATATGATTTGTTGAATATAAAACTGATGATCTGCCCTGTAAACTTGCAATCAATTCACAATAAAAACTTAAACAAAAAAAAAATGTATATGGAGAAATTCCATTATCTTTTTATTTTATTTCCCCCATGAACTTTCTGAAGCCGCCTCCTCCTAGTGAAGTCTGAATGTTTAAGTTAGCAGGAAAACTTGTTTTTTTTTCCCAACATGGTGCTAGTACAGCTTAGGATTTCCGGTTTGCAAGCGCGGTTGAAGGGAGGTTGTTAAAACGTATCCTCTTTTTCTTTTCTCCCCGTACTGTTCTGTAGCGCGCTCTTCAGGACCCAACAGTTGCTGCGTTCATGGTGGAACCCATTCAGGGCGAAGCTGGTGTTGTTGTTCCTGACCCAGGATACCTCACGGGCGTGCGAGATCTCTGCACGCAGCACCAGGTCCCTCATGATGACCCGTAGGGATCCCTTACCCCAGGCCAGCCTGCCTCTAAGTTTTGGCTGAACATCTCCTTTCCAGCAGGGGGAGACTTCATCTTAGTAGCTGCAGAGTGTTCTTGTGCTCAGTGTCAGCTACCTGCACAGCCCCTGAAATCTGACTGGCCTCTCAACACCAGCACGGCCCTGACCTTCTCTCATTCTTAATCTTATCCACAGTCCAGGTCTTTCTAGAGCCCTTTGTTGTAACCTCTGCTCTAAAATGTCATCTCTTGACCCTTGCCCCAACATCGCTAGGTTCTGGTGAGTCGAGTCTGACTCCAGTAGCAACCTTGCATAACAGAGAGAAGTAAGTGCCCCACGGGTTTCCTAGGCTGTCATCTTTATATGGAAGTAAATGGCCACATTTTTTCCCCACAGAGCACCAGTCTTTTGGTTAGCAGCCAAGCGCTTAATTGCTCTTCCTTCTGGGTTCATTCAAGCTAATATTTGTCTGTTTTATTTGCCACCGGACAGTCCCTCTCACACAAACCAAACACCCAAACCCACTGCCATGTAGTTAACCTGGACTCCCAGCCACCCTAGAGGGCGGCAGATCTTTACAGAAGCAGCCAGCCTCATCTTTCTCCCAGGGAGTGGCCGGTGCATGTGAACCACCCACAACTGTTGGTCAGCCGTCCACTGGTTCATCCTTGGTGTCACCAAGAGTTCCTCCCCCTCTCACATAACCAAAGCCCCTCCTCTCCCCCCACTGCCATCAAAAGTCAATTCGGACGCAGAATGACCGTATTTGGGGTTTCTGAGACTGTAAATTGTTAGAGGAGAAGACAGCTTCATGTTTCTCCTGCACAGCAACTTGTGGGCTTGAACCGCCAACCTAGTGGTCAGCAGTCCAGTGCTGATCCTACAGTGCTATCAGGGTTCCTGTCTGTCTCACACAGTAACTGTTTAATACATGTTTGTAGAATAAGCAGATGCATTGTTTCCAGAGAGGAATTGTAGGATATCCCTGGGTTATGAAGGACATCTGGATTTGTAGGTAAGCAAGAACGTGCCCCTGGCTCTTATTTAGATTTAGTGCAAGAAGGAATCTCTGGTGGGACCATGGTTAAACCTCTTGATGGCCCTCCAAAAGCTCGGCGGTTTGAACCCACCAGTTCCTCCGCAGAAGAAAGATGAGGCGGTCTGTTTCCAGAAAGATTCACGGCCTTGGAAATCGTGTGGGGCTTCGACTCTGTCCTTAGGGTCACTTAGTCAGAGCTGACTTGATGGCAGTGGCCTTAGGGCTGTGGTCAGTGGAGGAAAAGGCGCTCGTGCAGCAAGTGAAGGTGATCGTGATGAAGCATTTCCTGTGAGCTGGGAGGGGTTCACTATTTCAAAACGGAAGCTCATTTCTGTAACATTAAAGAGGAAGTAGGAGAAGGAGCTCTGGTAGCCAGCGTAGTGGTAACGAATCAGGCTGTGAACCATGAGGTCAGCGGTTCGAAACTGTTCGTGGGAGAAAGATGAGGCTTTCTGCTCCTGTAAAGGTTTATAGCCTCGGAAACCCTTTACAGGGTCACTGTGGGTCAGAACCGACTCCACAGCACACAGCAGCCAGCAGGAGTTAGGCCTTCATTACGGGGGACTACCCGTACATCCAGATGGCCCCCTTCCCAACCCACTGTGGAAGGACAGTGGGAGCCATCTGAGCAGAAAGTGACCCGCCCTGTAAATAATTGGTGTGTCCTTAACACATTTCCCCAACTCTGAGGGCACATGTGGAATTACAAATGAGCAGGAGAAGCGTGTGAGACAGAAGGATCTTTGCCGTGGAAGGAGAACTAAGGCCTTGGTGCTGTCTGCCCACAGGTTCTCTTCATTGCTGATGAGATACAGACGGGACTGGCCCGCACGGGCCGATGGCTGGCTGTTGATCATGAAGACGTGAGGCCTGATGTCGTCCTCCTTGGCAAGGCCCTTTCTGGGGGCTTGTACCCGGTAAGTTGGATGTTCACCGTGTCTTGTTGCACACTCTTCAAGTACTTTTTTGCGCTGAGAAAAGCTTCTGTTGGTTTGATATTTCTTGTGTACTGTTGAGTCAGTTCCAACTCAGACCCTGCGTAGGGTTTGTGAGGAGTGCTAGTGGGTTTGAACCGCCAACCTTGTGGTTAGCAGTCCAGTGCTGATCTTCCTTGTTATTGTGGTTTTTACGAGCCATCAAGTCAGTTCCGACCCATGGCTTTCAAGGAGTGGCTGGTAACCTTGAACTGCTGACCTTGTGGTTCAAACCAGCCTTGCTGTCGAGTGCTTTTCCTACAGCGTCACACCAGTACTCTTGTTATATCTTCTTCTTGTTACGTGCCGTCAAGTCAGTTCCGACCCATAGCAAGCCTGCGTAGCGTTTCCGAGGAGCGGCTGGTGGGTTTGTACCACTGACCTGAGGTTAGCAGTCCATGCTGACCCTGCAGCGCCACACCTGTTACTTTTGTGTGTCTGTGTATGCTTTCATACAGTTTCATCCTGTTTCAGTGTCATAGACCTGAATGGAATGAACAATGTTAATTGTTTTCTACCATACAGAAAGCTGTGTCAGCTTTTCAAAAATTGAGACAAACTTTATTTTGAGAACAAGAGAACACTTTTAATGACATGTACTGAACCTGAGTGTCTGCACATGTCATTCATATGCATATCACAGAAAATGAACTTTGACAACTTGCAAAACTCTTGTTTTCCTGTACTTGATTGAATAAGAGAACCTTCACATTGATTTCTGTTTCATGGAACATGTTGGCAATATCCCTGTTACTGGCAACAAATACACACTTGACTTTCATAATGTGCTAAAACATTTTAGCTTCATCTATTTGGGTACAGTTTGTCCCATTCAGGTATGTAAAAGGTAATTAGTGGTGGTTGTTGTTATGAAGTGCCATCGAGTTAGTTCCGACCCATAGCAACCCTGTATAGGCTTTCTTAGGAGCAGCTGGTGAGCTTGAACTGCTGACCTTGCAGCTCAGATGGCTTTGCAGTCTGGTGCATTAACCCACAGCGCCACACCGCAATTAGTACACTATGTAAAACAATGGATGGGCGATACCCATGCTCTCACTAAAATGGGCTGTTGTTCATTTGAGTAGATGAAATCACAATAGTTGTAAACATTAGAAAAGTACACATGTATGACAAAAGGGGAAATGTTACAAATGTTTGCTGTGGATGAGAAAACAAGTGGCTGTTTCTGGTTTCCATGTTGTTATCTTCAATACTTTGTAGTGTGAACATGGGTATGTTCTTTATACATTCTGTGAAGGAGAAAAACAGTCCTTAGTTGCTTTCGTTCAAATACATGAATATAGGCATTTGACACCTTTTCAGATACTTGTATTACAAAACTGGGAATGAACCTTAAAAGTTTCATCAATGAGAAAAGAATATACAATTGTATCTGGTTGACGTACATGAATTAAAATGTTTTAAATATCATCAAGTACACTTTGTATTTCAAGGACAGAAAGCTAATAAAAACTCTTTCACATACTGTCATCAGAAACACCATGAATGCTACGTTAGAAAACAATGTTCCCATTACAGAACATGAAGTATATAAATGTAAAGTACCATTTGAAAGAAGTTGAACGTTTCCAATCCATCATGCATTTAAGATAATACCTTCAGAAAGAATATTTTGCCCAATCAAGGTATGCTGTGTGTTACAAGGGTTGCTGTTAAGTGCCGTGGAGTCGGTTCCTACCTACAGTAGCCCTGTACTTGAGTTTCTGAGAAACGGCTGGTCAGCGTGAACTGCCAATCTTGAGGTTCAAACTGATGTTTCAGTCCAGCGCATTCAGTCCACAGTGCCACACCAGGACTCCACAAAGAATGGAAGGGTCCCCACATAATTGAGACTACAAAGCCCATGTATAGTATACAGGTGTCCACATAGGTGATTTCAAAATTACTTTACATGATTTCCAGCTACTCAAGGACGCAATTATGTCCACTTGAATTTGAGAACTTGTACTTGGCTTGTTCCCGGAACAGATTTGGCACTTGTCAGCTGTAACCCAGTGTGAACTGTCATAAAGTATAAAATTGCTCTGTCTAGAAATTCAGGAGAAATGCCATTGTCTTCTCACTCTTAGCAAGCGCTGAGAAATCCTGAGTTTTGTTACACAGTGTTTGCTTTCACTGCATTTATCTGAATGGAATTAACAAAGTGCTTGCTGTTTTCCACCACACAGAAAGCTTTGCGAACGTTCCAAAACACGTAACACAAACTGTAGTTTGAGAACATCACAGACGGAATTGTTCTGGTGTGGTATTGTAAGATAAGCACAGGACTGCTAACCAGAAGGCTGGGGGTTCAAACACACCAACCACTCCTGAAACGGAACTGAATTGCGACGCTCCACAGATTCTCTCACTCACAGATTGTAGGAAGCATCGCCTCCTTGTCATACAAATTGAACTTGGATCTGTGTGACAATTGAAGTTTGTCACACACAAAAAAACCCTCTGCTTTCCTGTACTTGAATAAGAGAAGCTTCATGTTGATTTCTAGTCCACAGGAGGTATTTTCTTTCTTTCTTTTTTTTTTTTTTTGGTTTTTATTGTGAATTGAGTGAAGGTTTATAGACAAGATCATCAGCTTTACACGCAACACATCATACACTTTGTTTTGTCTTATTGAATACCATCCCCTTCCTGTAACAACGGTTACCCTGCTCCCTCCCTGTGGTTCCTGTTTGCATTCCACCCACATTCCTAACCCTTCTCAGCTTTGTGATTGACCATTCCATAGTGAGCATACCTTGTTCTCCTTGGCTGAAAATTGGGCCACAAGGGTGAGTTCCTTTCCAGACCTGAAGGGTGGTTCGGGGCCATCTTCAGGTTCTTCTAGTCTCTTTCTGACCAGTAAGCCCGTCTTTTATTTTTTTAAATTATTAAATTACTTAGGGTTTTGTTTTGCATTTTCTCCCACTAGCCGGGATCCTGTAACATGATCCCCCTTCAGGGCAGTTGGTAGTGGTGGGCCAGGCACCATCTAGTTGTTTGGTCTCAGAGTGGTGGATGCATTCTACATAGCTCACCTGGGATATCTGTGATGAAAACATTACATGGGACACTCACTGAAACAACGAAGTCCGTGTTGACAGAGAATGGTGTCTGCTCTTGCTTTGGCATAAGACTCGGGTGGGAAATTTTTATTTTATTCTCTAGACTTTTCTCCTAGGATCCTGGTGATATTACTAACACTTTAAAACCAGGAATACGGAACACGGACGTTGAAAAAAATTAACGGTCTGTTGTTGTTCTTGTCTTGGTTGGGATATTCTGGGGCAGTAATTGGAAATGGATGAAAGGACTGCAGTGGAGCCCGTTTTGCTGAAGGGACTGATGACGGGTTTGAAGAGAGTGCTTCTCATCGTCTGCTGAGCTGTGACAGCGTTTGAGCTCTGGGTTGTGGGTGTGAGTTCTGCATAGAAACAAACTTCCATCCATCTTGTTCCAACATTGGATCATTCTGCGACATCTTGGGTCTGATGTACAGAGATAGTCTCTAAAGTCCATTTTCCCAGGAGCCTTTTGAAGCCCCTTTGCATTTGTAAGGTGTCGGGGCTAACTAAGGTGGCAGAAATACAGCGTTCATCTCTTGGCGTTTTGTGTCACATTTAATACCTGTTTTGTAAATGTGTGCCAAGGTGCACCCCAGAGAAGGGCACGGTAGGAGTGGTTACTCAGCGCTGTCTTGTGTCCCCTAGGTCTCTGCAGTGCTGTGTGATGACCACGTGATGCTCACCATCAAGCCTGGGGAACACGGCTCAACCTACGGTGGGAACCCCCTGGGTTGCCGAGTGGCCATCTCTGCCCTCGAGGTAAACGCACTGGGTGGCCCAAGCCACACAACACCCATTGTATGTAATTCAGAGTTTGATAGGCTTGCCCAACCCGAGACACAGAGCAACATTATTTAGAGGAGAGTCAGGGTTTGAGACCTTGGCTGTCGTTAGGTGCCTTAACTTGTTTTTGACTCCTGTTGTAACCTCAGATAACAGATTGTTGGTAAGTACCGTGGAGTCGGGGAGTCGGGGAGTCGCTTCCGACTCATAGTGACCCTGCACAGGGTTTCTGAGTCTACAAATCTTTATGGGAGCAGAAAGCCTCATCTTTCTCCCATAAAACAGCTGGTAGTTTTGGACTGCTGACCTTGAGGTTAGCAGCCCGATTGGTAACCATTATGCTAGAGATTACAGCCAGGAAAACCCCACCCCCACCTGCGGTTTGCATCTTTCCTGAGGTGAGTTTGCACTGCCGACCTCAGGCTAGATTTTCTCCCAGGGTTTCCTGAATTTGCAGTTGTCTGGGACTTGGAGATGTCACACTGGGATCTAGTCTGACACGCCTCTTGTTTAGCAAGCTTGGCATTCTATCCCCTCTTCTCTCTTCCCCCAGGGGAAGATTTCAGATGCTTTTAGCATTATCTCATCTATGACCACCAGGGTTGTACAGTGGTTATATAATCTCTGAGGATGGACTTTCTTAGAAAGAAACATCAAAGGGAATTCCCTTGTAGTTGAACAATTTAGTTCCTTGATTTATTCAACGAGTAAGATAACATATCCATTGCATTAAACAAATTCGAATGCTCTTATTTTGCCATGAAATTAGATGGATTTATGATTAAGCAGGGCTCTGTATGAAATACAAACTTTGGGACATCCACAGTAGAATAAAATGGAGTAAATGCTACATGCAGTTAAAGAGGAACACTGTATCTATGTGCTGTTAAAGAGTAACACTGTATGTACAGTTAAAGAGTAACACTGTATCTATGTGCTGTTAAAGAATAACACTGTACACATAGTTGAAGAGTAACACTGTATGTACAGTTAAAGAGTAACACTGTATCTATGCACAGTTAAAGAGTAGTAGTGTATGTATGCATGGGTAACATGACTGAGCCTGGAGGACACAATGCTGAGTGAGACAAGACAGTCACAAAGGTTGACAAGGATTGCATGTGACCACTGTTAGCCAGAAGCAGGGTTTTCACATGAAAACATTCTTTGATGGTTACTAGAAGTAGGGGGTGGGGGGAGGGGGGTTAAAAAAAAAAAAAAACCGCCCTTGAAAACTAGGAAGTAAAGCAACTCCAGTCTTCATTGGATGATATTCTTCCTCTATTTCTAGTTCATGGTCCCCTCCAAGGAGCAACAAAAAAGGGGCCCGTTGAACTTGTGTGTGATTTCTATTTCAACATAGGTCCTGGAAGAAGAAAACTTGGCTGAAAATGCCGACAAAATGGGTACTCTGTTGAGACACGAGCTTATGAAGCTACCGTCTGACGTTGTCACAGCTGTGAGGGGAAAAGGATTATTGAACGCTATTGTCATTAAAGAGACCAAAGGTATGGAAACAGTTTAACTGCAGAGCAAAAATGAATCCAGTATTTTAAATGGGCTGTCAGCTTCCACTGTGTGAAACTGTTGATTGACCTTCTTTTGTCCTTGAGGCAAAGTATTATCTGGTATTTATTATATTAATAGTTTCAAAAATCCACCTCTTTCCTACACAGAGGTGCTGCAGAAATGGCGTGGAGATGTTTTCCTCCGTAAATTCATGAGGTAGGGAGGTGAATCAAGATGGTTTCTGTTAGGCAGACATCAGACATGCCGCTTTCCCTCCCATAACACACTCTATTTCTCTGCTGGGTTTGATAATTCACAGAACTCACAGGCCAGACTCATAGTAACGGGGTTGGTTAATTAGGGAAGTGTAACAGGTTACAATTCAGGGTCAGGAACAACTCGGGATATAGCTCTTTTGTCAGGACATCCTCTCCTTGGCCCTCAGCCTCTTGGGTCACTTGGACCTTTTGGGTCTCTTGGGCTAGCCTGGCCTCTGCCTCTTCAGGCTAGTGTTACAAAGCTCCCGGGAGGCAGTCCGCTCCTGCAGTAAGCCTCAGCCTGAAGGTCCTCAGCTCTCGGATGCTTCTGGCTGACTTGGGTGTTTCTGATGCCACAGCTCTTTCGCTGATTCCTGGGTCTTGGATGTTCTCAGGGCAACGACCCTGGGTCCAAAGGATGAGCTCCATTCCTGTCTCCTCGTTTTGGTGGTAGTGAGGGCCCCTCACTCTGTTTCTGCCTCTAGGGTGGCTCATTTTAAGCCTAGCAGGATGGCAAAACTGATGAGTCCCTTCTTTAGGGTTCGGTACATGTTAGCTGCATTATCGGCAAGCTGTCCAATTCCCTTGGTGGGCTGTAAGCACCTTATTTGCATAGTCTCACCCCATGACTTTGTGGGACCACAAGACCATGCACCCACTGCAGGCACGTTTGAATTAATTTTTGTGTTTTTGTTTTTGTCAGCCATTTGTTATTCTGCTTGGAGAACTCGCCTTGTTTTTTTTTGTCAGTCTAGAGTGCTTTTTTGAAAAACTCCTCCTTTGCTATCCGCCCCCCCCCCCCCACACACACACACTTTAAGGCTTGCTCTGTCAGAAGAGGAAGAAGGAGCAGGTAGCGATGCTGATACAAATGCTGCCGCTGATGCCGATGCGTTCGGGCCTCCTCTGTAGTGTCATGAAGGGACTTGACTGAGCTTGAAAAGCAGTGACTTTAACCTTGACTGCACTTTAGAATCACCTGGGGAGCGTCTAAAAATGAATCAAATACCTGGCCTGACCCCAGAGACTTTGATTGGACAGGGCGGGGTGGGGCGCTGGCCTTGGCATTCCTGATAGCTCTCGGTGATTCTCAGGGGTTCAGCCTGGGATGGAATCACTCTGCATATGAGAGAGTCTGTCCAATTTAGGCATATGTTGGGTTCACCATGGCTTGAGGGGGCTCATTTTCTATCAGTTAGCATCTGCATTGTACCCACATCCTTTTTGTATTGATACCTCATAGTGTGATTAATACAGTGTCGTGGTGGTGTGCCGTGGAGTCAGTTCCAACTCATAACCACCCTGCATAGTGTTTCCGAGGCTGTAAATCTTATGGGAGCAGAAAGCCTCATTGTTCTTCCATGGAGCTACTGGTGGATTCAAACTGCTGAGCTTGCAGTTAGCAGCCCAGCTGGGAATCCGCTATACTGTCAGCGCTCCTTAATAGCATCTTAGCACATGCGTTTTCTTTTCTTTTTTTTACGTTTATGAAAAACCATTCAGTATCCCTGATAGGTCTGATCCTTCCATTTACACACATTAGATAGGTGCTTGCCGGAAATTTGGAACAGACTTTCATTTTTAGGATGAAGAGCAAAGGCAAGCATGCAGTTGAAAGCTGCCTTTTTGGAGCAGGTACCTGAGGATTCCGCTTTATCCGACTGCACTCTCATCGTTAAGTGCTGTTGAGCCGGTTCCGACTCACAGCGACCTTGTATAGGGTTTCTGAGGAGTGGTTGGTGGGTTAGCATTCCAGTGTGTATTCTACAGCGCCACATTCTGTCCACGCATGTGTCTCAAGGGGACGTTTGGTCCAGTGCATCACATCGGACTCTTTTTCCCTCTAGATTACGATGCTTGGAAAGTGTGCCTCCGACTTCGAGACAATGGGCTGCTGGCCAAGCCAACCCACGGTGACATCATCAGACTGGCTCCACCGCTGGTCATCAAGGAGGATGAGATTCGTGAGTCTGTGGAGATCATTCACAAGACCATCTTGTCTTTCTGAGAGTCGCCAGCGGGCAGGGTTCCTGCGTGATCCCTGGGGTCCTGTGAAGACTGCTCTGCTTGCAGGCACATTCCATTCCCACGTGTCTCCAGGGACTTTTTTTACTTCACTTCAGCAGATACAGTAGAACGAAAGCTGTGGACCTGCGGCTCGCTGTGTGCACCGTAACTAAGAACGTAGCGGCTTCTGCCTCTGGTTAAGTGTCTTCCTTCTGTGTGTGTGTACTTTCTAACGTGCCACGTATCCATCACACAGTCTGTTTATCTTTACGTATCATTTCCACGTTTGTACGGTTCCTTTGCTGGTATGAGTGTTTTCTATTTGAAAAAGTTACTTCTGTGGCGATACAGGGAGGATTAGCTGAAGAGACAAGATTTCAATAAGCCTCACTTGACGTTGAATGACTCATTATTTTGAATCACGAAAGAATGTGTAGCATCTCCAAATTACTTTCGGTTTGATTATAATTTGTGAAAACAACAAAACACCTGTTTCCGAAGTGTCTTTAAATCGACAATAAAGCCTTGATTGAACGTGTGTGTTCATTTTGCCATCAGGGCTCCATGACATTAGGGGTTTCAGTGAATTGACTTAAACTCTTTGGGAATTCTTAGCTTGCTTTGACCTCTATGTTTTCTCCGAGAGTATTTTGGTGGTGGTGGTTGCATGCTGTGGGGTGGAAAGCCTCATTTTTCTCCTGAGGTGCAGCTGGTGGATTCAAACTCCTGACCTTGTGGTTAGCAGCCCAGTGCATACCCCACCACACCACCAGGGCTCCTTTAGATCGCTATCGTAATTTGCATTGTAGTTTCATCTCGTAGGAGGTACCCATTGAGCGCCTTTCCACTTTTCTCTTTAAATAAACTTATGTCCACCTCCCGTGTCTAACTTGGCACAATCCAGTGAGTTTTCGAGGCGTAAATCTGGACATGTTGGATTGATGTCAAACAGCATGAACTTTACCCTTTGGCTGTCTATAACACAACATGAGACAGTTCAACTTTCCATTTTCGTAGTTGCGATCTCATGGCTGTTGAGATGAGATGAGAGCTGCACCCCTGGCAGTGTGGGAGTTGGGGCTTTGGTTTCCTGAGTGGTTTTCTGCCACTTAACGATGTCCGTGGGTACAGGAAGGTGTGCACCCAGCAATTGCATACAGGCAGTCCCCGAGTTTCAAATGTCAGACTACATGTTAGCAAATCTGCCTGCGCTTAAAACAAGCCCTCCTCACAACACGGTCTCCATCACCTTCACTGGCTGTGTGGACACCTTTTGAATCATTGAGATGTCTTGGGCCTTTTTTTTTTTTTAATGTTTTATTGTGAATTATGTGATAGTTTACATGGGAGAATATTAGTTTTACATTCATCCTGTTGTGTATCATTTCATTGCCATGGTTACAATCCCCTCCATGCATCAACAACCCCCAGTCATCAGCACACAGTTGGGCCTTTTCTTGCACTAAAGCACACTGAGAACGGTGTGCACCTGCTGGGGTTTCCTTCAAGCCCAGCTTCCACCCTGCGGCACATTCCTAGAAGGAGACTGGTGTGGTTTGCAGGTTTCCTGCTTCTCAATGCAGCCTGGATGTTACAGACACCTGGGTGCTCCACTGCAAATCATTGACGTCGCAGTTTCTGCGAGTGAGGCTGGCACCCGGACTGGGGGCTCCTTGCTGGAAGTTGAGGTGTGGTCAGGGTGGCCAGCCCTGCCAAGTAGGTTTGAGTGAACTGTAGATTCACTCAATTGGGCCACGTGTACAGCTGGTGCTGGAAACTGCTCTCTGGCGCCCCTTGCAGGCCACACTCCCTGCTTGGCATAGTCTATGGCCACGTCTGATTGCTATTGGTTGACACCAAGGATCCACTGGGAACAAGGCAGATGTCATCCTTGGCCTCATGGGACTTTGAATTTGGAGTGTTTATTTGGAAGCTGTTTCAGTATCAGTTCGATGCCAGGCACTTGGTTAGCTCTGGAGGAGAAATAAAGTGTTGGGTGTCGTCAAGCCGACTATTCGACCCCGTGAAATGCTGCCGGTCCTCAGGTGTTGCTGCTTGACTCCGTTGTCATAGCCACTATGCCAGTCCAGCTCACTGAGTGTCTTCCTCTTTTTCGATGACCCCTCTACCCAGCATTATGTCCTCCTCCAGGGACTAGCCCTTCCTGATCACATGTCCAAAGTACATCTAAGAAAACAGCATTTATTAAACATTAAGTGCCAGGCATTGTTACTGCATTAAATGTCACTATAATAATGTGATGGTGCCCATTTTCCAGATGAGAAGATCAAGGCTTATAGAGGCAAAGAAACTTGCTTTAGGTCTTTGAAATTGTAAGTGGTGGAGCCCAGGAGTGGAGGAAGGGGTGTGGAGTGTGGTGTGTGTGTGTATGTGTGTGTGTGTAGGTGGAGCTACTTTTGTCCAGGAGACTGACTGAGACAGACTGGGTATTTGTGTTAAAGCATTTCAGTTAATTTCTAACTTAGGGGATGTCGATAAGTACTGTTGAGTCAGTTCC